CATCCATCCATCATCCATCCATCATCCGTCTATCATCCATCCCTCTGTCCCACCAGCCAAAAGCCACCCAAGCAGCTCCAGACATCCCCCTGGGGGACCCCTCCCATGCACCCTTCAGCCCCCCAGCCCCACCCCTGTCCCCTGTCCCAGTAGATGGTGGTGGAGGAGATGAACCGCCTGGGCATGATGGTGGACCTGGCCCACGTCTCAGTGGACACGATGAAGGTGGTGCTGAACATCTCCAAAGCCCCCGTCATCTTCAGCCACTCCTCTGCCTACAGCCTCTGCCAGCACCGCCGCAACGTGCCCGACGACGTGCTGCAGCTGGTGGTGAGCGTGGGCACAGGGCGGGGCCGGCGGGGGGTTCTGGGGGCTGGGGGCTCAGGGCTGGTCCCCCCCAGGCCTCCACGGGCAGCTTGGTGATGGTCAACTTCTACAACGCCTACGTGACCTGCAGCGACAAGGCCACGCTGTCCGACGTCGCAGGTGAGGGGGTGCCCAGGTGGGTGGGGGTGGCAGTGACCCCCCCTGCCCTGCTCACCCCGTGTCCCCCCACAGACCACATGGACCACGTGAAGAAGGTGGCCGGTGCCCAGGCTGTCGGCTTCGGGGGGGACTACGACGGGGTCCCAGGGTAAAGGGGGTGATGGTGCAGGATGGGGTGGCACAGCGTGTGCCCACCGTGGGGACTTCCTGAGGGGTGCGGGCATCCCCCCTGCACCTGTGCGGGCAGCTGGGGGTGCTGGGGGTGGCCCAGCTGCGAGCTGTGGGGTGGCACAGGGTCCCCGCTGGCCTGGAGGACGTCTCCAAGTACCCCGCGCTGGTGGCCGAGCTGCTGGCGAGGAACTGGACGGAGAGGGAGGTGAAGGGGGCCCTGGCTGAGAACCTGCTGCGGGTCTTCAGCAGAGTGGAGGAGGTGAGTGGGGCGTGGGAGCACAGGGACGCACAGGGCGAGGGGACACCTGGACCGTGGGCACGCAGGTGGCACTGGGACCATCGGGAATGGAGATGTAAGGGACACGGGGACACGTGGCACAGGGACGCTTGGGCAGCACACAGCAGGGCGTGTGGCACTCAGGAATTTACGGGGACACAGGGAGCCAGGGGGACACATGGGGCACTGGGACGTGCGTGGGATGGTTTGGGGTGGCAGGAGCGGGCGGGCACTGCCCCTCACAGCGGGAGCCCACCTTGTCCCCACGCAGGTGAAGAGGAGCCTGCAGGGCACGGCTGCCCACGAGACCCCCATCGCCTTCGAGGAGCTGCAGGGGCCGTGCAGAACCAGATACGGGTACCCCAACGGCGCTGGCACCGCCCGGCGCCCGCCGGCAGCCCTGGCACTGCCGCTGGCGCTGGCCCTGCTCCTCTCCGTGCTCTCCTAGCACCCGGCACCGGGGCACGACCCCGCGCTCCTTTCTGCCGGACCCGCTGGCAAAATAAAACCGTGGCTCAAGCAGTGCCGGCAGCGAGTGTCCGTGTGGGGCTCGGCGGGACCCGTGCCAGAGCCCACCGGCTCCCGGCGGGGGATGCCGGGACCCCCGGTATGCCACCGGCCCCCCGGTATGCCACCGGACTCCCCAACATGTCACCGGCGGGGCAGAGCGGAGGGTCCCGGCGGCGCCCGCCCCGCACACCGGGAACCGTAACCGCAGCGGGAGTGACACATCCCGGCAGCACCTGGCCAGGGCGGCTGCGGAGCTGCCTCCGCAGGATGCTTCCATTAATCATTAGCTAATTAATTGGCTACTTAATTATCTCCTTAGCAATTTCCTCTGGCATTCAGGAACAGCCTGTCTTCGGAGCGGAGGCGGGAGAACAGGCAGGAGAAGGAGAGCCATCTTCCTGTGCCATTCGGGATTTGGCTGAGGCACAGCGCCCGGCTGCCAGGCGGGCACGGGGCAGGGAGCCGGGACAGGGAAGGAGCAGGGAAGGGAAGGAGCAGGGAAGAGATAGGAGCAGGGAAAGGAAGGAGCAGGGAAGGGAAGGCTGCACCCTCACCCCGTCCCTGGCAGCGAGGCTGCTGTGGGCAGGTGCTGATGGCAGGATGGGTGCGGTGCCACCTCGGTGCGGTGCCAATCCCGGGGTCTCCCCTCGGGGGGCCCGGTTGTCCCCACGAGGGCTGGGGGACGGTGCAGGGAGCTGGGCTGGCCCAAGCCTCGTGGGGAAGGGAGCTGGGCTCCAGCTGCTCCGAGCTCCTGCTCACTCTGCTCCCCTGGCTCGGCCACATGGAAGGGACAGGGCCCTGCAGCGGGGGAAAGGGGCTGTCCTCGCCCTCCAGAATCCCCAGAGTGGGTACCCCAGCACTTCCCAGCTCCTGGATGGGCAGAGGCTCTGGGAACAAGAGCAGTCCCTTCCTCCTCCTCAGCTCCAGGGCAGCCCCTGGCACCAGCTCCTATGGCAGGGCAGGGGACACGATGAGACAAGGGGGACCACCGACCCTGTCTGCATCCACACCCCCAACACACACTGGGGTGTTCAGAGATTGTTTATTTAAACCCACAGAAGGGCATGGACACGGTTTGGGCAAAAAGAAGGCAAATAAGACAAGCTTTAAAAAAAAACCCACCAAAGAAACCACAGAGAGACAGCCCAGGGAGGGGGATGGGGGCAGGCCTGGAGCCCCCAGAGCTGTGGGGACACCGTGCAGGGAGCCAGGCACAAATCTCCAGGGTCCCCCAGCTTCCCGCCCGGCCCATCGGGAGGTGGGACAAGATCCAAGGCTCTGCTGCAGCCCAAGCTGCCTCCTCCTCCTCCTCTTCGGTGGCGAGGAAGGCTCTGTGTCACCAGCCACACGCTCCCAAGGCCACTGAACTCGGGGAGAGCAATCAACGCAGCGGGAAGTGTCTGTGCCGGGAAGTGGCCCCTGTGACATCCCCCAGAGGTGACAGCTCCTCCTGGGAGACCCAAAGGAAATGGCGCTTCCTTCCTGGAGAGCTCCCAGCAACCCAGCAGCTCCGCCGTGCCAAACAGCTCCAGCCCCAGGGGAAGGTGACAAGGGACAGGGAGGAGCAGCGGGAGGGGACACGGAGAGCAGCTCCCGGCCTGGTTCTAGCAGCGAGGGGACAGAGGAGATCCAGGGACGAGGCACAGGGATGGAGGCAGAGCTGCTCCCGGGATGGTTCTGCATTCCCTGTCACACCCACCCAGCAGGGGGACATTTGGGGACATGTCTGCAGCCACCACGGCTGCTGCAATCCTCTCCCAGTGCTGGACATGGCTCCTCACTGGTCTAAACTGGCAGTCAGGGCCGGGACAACCATTTCCAGCTGGCAGTGCCCGGGGAATCTGTGGATTGACACGCACAGGGCTGGGCAGGGGAGGGCGTTCCAAAGGGCACTTCGTGGTAGGGGGGCTGGGGGTGTCGGCCCGGCGGGACACGGAGCAGCAGAGGGCACGGGGACAGTGACAGCGACAGCGAGGGAGGGGACAGCCCGCTGTCACCGCCCCTTCCTGCAAGGCACCGACCTCCCCAGCTCCACAGCCGAGACGGGAAGGGTTCTCCTGCTCCTCCCGGCCAGCTCCTGAGGAACTCAGCCCTCAGCTCTGCTGTGGGCAGGGGCGGGGAGCAGCAGAGGAGCTGGGGAGCAGCACCCCCGAGCAGGGAAATCCCCGTAGTGTTCCGTCAGCAGCGGGTGTGGGGCTCTGCAGGCAGCACCCCCAGACGCAGCCCCCCCAGAATCCAGCACGGGGTTCCCACCGGGATCGCTGCTGGCCCGGGGAGGGGCTGTCACCCCCCGAGGAGAGTCCCGAGGCGCTGGGGGGCTGCAGGGGGGGTCCTGCTCCAGCAGTGCCATCCACAGGCCCAGGGAGGGCTCAGTTCCGCAGGGCAGCCAGCCTGCAGGGAGAGCAGCAGAGCGGAGCCGGGTCAGGGCAGCAGGAGCCCCCAGCCTGTCCAGGGAGCCCCTCTGGGCCCCCCAGGAAGGGCCAACTCTTCCTTCAGGGCAGTGAGGGGTGCTGGGAGGCACTGGGAGTGCCCAGGACTGGGAGAGAACCAACCTCCGGGAGAGCTGGTCCTCCTGGGAGCGCACGGAGCTCTCCCCCACGGCCGAGGCCCCCTCGGGCAGCTGGCTGAGCTGGTCCATGATCTCCAGCCCGTTCTCCTCGGCGATCTGGACGATCAGGCTGTCCACCTGCTCCTGCGGCGTGCTCAGCGTGGTGGCCGAGCTCATGGAGTCCTCCATGACCTGGGACAGACACAGCCCTGTCCCCCTGCCTGGCCTGGAGACCTGGCAGGGATCCCCTGCCATCCCACCCTCCCTCTCCTGGCCGCCCGGCACTCACTGACGTGTGAACATCCAAATTCTGCACTTGCTGCTCGAATTTATCCATCACCGCTGACACCTTCTGCAGGTCCATGGAGCTCAGGGCCTTGTCCAGAGCCTTGGTCACCTGAGCCATGTTTTTCGTCACCTGCAAGAGAAGATTCCTTCAGGAACGCTCTGAGGGTTACAGACAAATCCCAGCGGTGTCCTGAGGCCATCCCAGCTAGGCTGAACCTGTCTGAGGGGGTCTGAGACCACCGGGAGCCCTGCTGGGATCATTCTGGAGGACGAGACGGCTGGGGGTGGCTGGGAGCAGCGAGGGGAGCAGCGAGGGGAGCAGCTCCACGTGGGGATGGAGCTCCCAGAGGCTGCTGGAGGCTCTTACCCCCTTCATGGTGACAGCTGTCTGCACCTTGGAGGCCACGGCGTCCACGCGGGAGGCCATGCGCAGCCAGTGGAGCCCCTCGTTCTTCTTGCGGATGGCGTTCTCGGCATAGACCCGGGCACACTCCACGTTCTTCTGCTGCAGAGCCTGTGGGGGAAGGAGAGATGGGAAAGCTTTGTGAGTACCACTGCCCGGCAAAGGGATTTGGGAAAGACAGAAACCACAAGTGAGATTGAAGCGGGAACGAGCGCTGAGATACCAAAGCACGGCTGCTGAACAAGCAGAAAAACCAGGAACAGTTCAGCCAGTGGAAGGCAGCCCCCCTTTTGACCTCCAGACCTCCAGAGTCAGATGTTCTGTCTCACCCCTCAAAAATACACAGTTTATCCCACACCTGTAACCCTCCCCTGAAGCATCAGGTATGTGTAATCCCACTGGCCCAAGTCTTGTTCCGTGCCCGCTCTGGAGCCCCCTGTAAGGTGTGCCCAGAGGGCTGGAGGCTCTCTTGGCATAATCTCCTGCCCCTGTGACATCTCTCTGTCTGTCTCTTGCTGTCTCTCCCTGCTCCTGCTCCGAGCTGCAGCTGGCAGCTCCGAGTGAGGCCCCACACCCGCTCCCTTCACAATAAATAAACCACATATTTCCTATCTCTGACTGCAGAGATCTCTGTCTCCATCCATCCTGACCATCAGCGCTCCCCACAGCCTGGCACAGCGCTGCCCTGGCACAGACTCCCCACACTCAGAGACCCCCAGGCTCCCAGCAGGGTGGGCTGCCAGCAGGACACCGCTGGCGAGTGCCCTGCCGCGGGGCCGGGTGTGCCACCCTGCCGGCCAGGGCTGCAGCAGGGGGCAGTGCCAGCCACCCCGCGGTGCCCAGCCCCACACACCTTTTTCACTTTGGCCTGCTCGGCCTTGGAGTCCTTCTCGGCTTTCTTGGAGAGCTTCTCCAGCTGCTTGGCCGTGAACTGCGGGCACAGCGGGGTGCGAGGGGCAGGAGCGGCCACGGTCCCGCACTGCTGGGGGTGGGAGGGACCCCGGAGCCCCCCAGGGACCCCAGAACCCACCCAGGCACCCCAGGGATCCCAGAGCCCACCCAAGCACCCCAGGGACCCCAGAGTCCCCCCCCAGGCACGGCAGGGATCCCAGAGCCCCCCAAGCACCCCAGCAACTCCAGAGCCCCCCCCAGGGACCCCGGAGCCCCCCCAGGCACAGCAGGGACCCCTCCCACCGGCCCAGGGTGCCCCTAGCCCCGTCCAGCCCGGCCCTGGGCACCGCCAGGGATCCCGGGGCAGCCCCCGCTGCTCTGGCACCTGTGCCAGGCCTGCCCACCCTGCCAGGGAGGAACTCCTGCCCCACATCCCCCCTCACCCCGCTCCGGCACTGCCAAGCTGCTCCCCTTTGTGCCGCCGTGCCAGTGCCCGCTTGTCCCGCCACTGCCCGGCCCTCTGCCCGCGGCAGCCCCGGTCACTCCTTCGGCCGGGCCTCCTCCCGTCCCGGTCCCGCCGCCGGTGCAGCCCCGCGGACGGAACCGGCACCGGGACTCTCCCGGGACCGGCGAAGGAGGTGGAAGGACCTCCGCTGCTCTCACCTTCAGCTGGAACAGCGTGTCTAGAAAGGAAGGAGAGCACAGTCTCAGCGACGGGACCGGTACCGGGAGCGGGTGACCGGGGACCCCGCCCACACGTCTCGGCCACCACTTCTGGCTCCGAGACTCACCCCCAACCTCACCCCTCTCCACCCGCCCCAGCCCCGCCGGGAAGCGCCGGTACCGCCCGACCCCCCCGCCGGTACCGTCCATCCTGCCCGC